CTGTCAGTATCTTATGATAACATAAAACAAAAATAATAGGCTGTTATGTGGTATACCTTCATCCTTGCTAAGGTCATCAAATGTGTCGAAAGTCTCATCATTTTCGGTATAAACCAACTCAAAGTCTTCCATAGCAGTACAGCTGGTAAGTCAGTGCGTGATTGCGACCTGACTTAGTGCTAGCTGCACAAGCGGGGGGTCCAACTACACTAAAGGGGGGGTCCAACTACTCGCGAGCGCTTGGACCCCCGGTCCAAAAATAAGGGGGGGTCCAACTACCCTCCAACACCGGCCTCGGCCGCGACCGCGACCACGAGTCTTCGGCATGATGAACAGAAGAAACCCAAAATGAGTGAAGGTAAACTGAAGTAATAAATGGCAGCGAGGGTAGCCAACACACAAAGACTGGAAGGTCTGATGTGCGCATGCGATGGGGCATGTGTCAGTCGGGAGTGGCCCCTGCTTATTAAATACCTTTAAATGCCCACATCTAAACTACACTATTATTATTATTATTATTATTATTAAATGTAATATATTTATTGTGTCATTATCACTGCTGGTGTTTTAATATATTTTAGGAATTTTAATGTTAATGCCTTTAAGAGTCACAAAGTTATGAAGTAGCCTTAGGTCTAAAATTGAGTGAAAATTTCCACCCACAAGGTACACCATCTAAACCTTATTCATTTTTTGTAGAGTGAAACATCATGAATAATTAGAAAACAAAAAAATTATCACACTGAACATTCTATGTATAATAGCTCACAATTTCTAAAACTAAAAATAGATAATAAAAATAACATGATTAATTAAAAAAGGATGTCAAAATACTTTGTAAAGATTAAAACAAATCAACAACTGATTCTCGTTTGACATAATTGGTAGAACTTGGTACTATTTTCCTTTTTTGTTGATCAACAGTTAGATATGATTCAGTTACATCTAAAAGAGGATCATCATCTTCATCTTGTTTCTTGAATAACTTCTTAATTAGAGCATCATAACATTTCATGTGTGATAACTGCAGATGAAGATGATAAACAATAATCAAAATAAAACTAAAAATAAAAACAGATAAACAAGTATTGTACCAGATCAATACTTTACTGTCATCAGTAAAGACTACAGATAAAGAAATCATGATGCACAAGTTTAATAAGAACCAAACTTCAAGTACATTGTTCATTCTTTTCTTGTAAACTCCACCAAAACAATAACCCAATGATAGCACAATGGCTAACACTGTCAATAGCATTGACAATAGAAAGTGCTGTGACTGAATGAAACTGTCAACTAAAGTAACTGATAATAGTACTGGTATCCTAGCCACTAGCAGTAGACCAGGCCAGAATCGATACTCATCTTTCATTGGACCACTATAGAGTAATTAACGGATGTTCGGATAACATGTAATCTCGGACACTATTACTGGAACAGTTTATCTGCTACAGACTTTTCTTTTATATTTTTACAAACTTCAATGATAATCCTATTAATACATGTTATAAGCAAAGTGCAAGAAGTCTTCATCTTCTTACAATTTTTTGCCAAAAATCGAAATCGGAAATACTC